CCCTGCCTGTGAGATCCCCAGTCTCACAGTGACTTTGTATACCATTCTCACCCTTACCCATACTTGTATTCTGGGGTTCTATGGTCCAGTAACTCTTCTAATTTACTATTTCTTGATACTCAAGCTGTTCCTAAGTCTTACCTTGCAATATGTGTAGTGTAGGGCCTGACTACACAGAGAAGATGGTGTGAACTGAGGCAGGGTAAGAAGTTAAAGCAGAACAGCTATTCCTCACTGAATGTCTGTTTTAATTTAATCCATTCATAATGTGGATGGAGTACTCACTGCATGGCTTAAAAAGTATCCACAGAGAAAATATTACGAAATAGCTACTCCATGCTGCTTCTTCATATGAACAATTTACTTGTTTGTTGTCAGCTGTGCTGGAGAGACAAACAATCCTGAAATGTCATGCTTTTTACATTCTTATGATCCAGTTTTCGTTCTTTGTCATTCCAATAGAACCATAATTGGAGCCAGGAATATCTGAGAGGACTAATTATACTGCAGCCATAAAAATTCTCTTTCACGTTTTTGACCACCTCTCTTTTTGAATCTTTTGATTGCCCATCAGTTTAGTAAAGTTAATGCCTGTCTTTTCAGATCATTAAAAATACTATTTGTTGAAGGATTTTGTCTAGAAAATTAATCACCTCTGGTCTTTTCTAGCCTTGATGGGAAAAATGTAACAAATTAGTTCCTCAAGTGGCATTAATGTTGCATGCTCTTGGCAGAAATTCACCTTTCAGTGTTTCATATTTAATTTCTTGCATGTTTCCTTGCATGATCAAAACTGACTGAAGACCCAGTGATGCATATCAAGGAGCATATACTTTTGCTCACCTGAGTTCAGTTGATAGCGTAATTTTGTTTTAAGAATTTTTCCATAGTTTGTATGCCACAGATTTCTCCTAGCTGTATAATTGGGAGACATAAATTGTCACACTTGTGCTGATTTCAATTTAGTTTTGAAATGAAGTCATGAAGACTTAATAATTTATTCCTGCAGTTTTGTCAGCTCAACAACAGGTAGGCCAAAACTGGATACATTAAAGAAGCTGACAATAATTTGGTGGGTATCCCAAAACATAAGAAGGAGGATGTCGTGTAAAGAGATGACAGGAGGAACTATGTACCACTCACACAGTCTTTAATGAATTTGTAGTTACTACTTGATCTCCTCAGTAGTCCTCTTTTGAAGTTCTACTATGCTCACATTCAATTAATTGCTTCTGTTATCTAAAATGGTTTCATATTCATGCTATTAAATAACTTAAAGCATTGAATTTTGCTGAAATATTTCATACTTTAGTACCTTTAAGCATGACAAAGTAAGAAAATGGTTTAATTTTTACACCTTTTTTTTGGAAGTTTTTAAGTGAATTTTTTAAAGAAAACAAATCAAAGTCTGTAATTTCATATGGACTGTCTTTCATTTCTTATGAGTTTAGAAAACTAAAACCTTTTTTAGATTATACTGGCAGCAATGTTCATGAAAACCTCTTGGATTGCTATTCTGTCACCAAATAGGTTATCACACTTTGAAAAATGTCTTAATTTGCTTAGGTCAGGCATTCTTCATAATATTTTCTTAGCAGTTTATGTTAGAAAACTTTAAACATTTAATTTCATTGCATTTCTCACCAGGCTTAATTGATACAGTTGTATTGCCAAGTTTAAAGCTAATAATAGACACACTGTTATTAAATCCATAGTGAGATACATAGTGAGAGAAAACGTCTTTTAGAATTTAAAATATATAATCTTTTTCTTTGCTACCAGTAAGTATATTACTTAGTTATATATTCTTTGTGTAACTGAGTTTTGTTGTTTGCATTAGAATCTCGTCCTTTGTCACTTCCTGTGAAAACCATGCTGAACTCATCTGAAAGCTGCAGAAGTCCTGAAGAAAGAATGAAGGAATTTATTGGAATAGTGTGGAATGCAGTTAAGTGCCTTACACTTCAGGTAAGATGAAAAGGAAGTGGAAAAAACCCTATGTCTTTCCAAACTTTATGATATTTTTTATGCATCCTAGTGCTTTTTATTAGAGGGTTCTTAAAGGAGCTCCCAAGTTTTATTGTCTTATTTCAGTAGTTTCAAAGTCTTAGAGAATGAAAAATAAAATACAGATTTTTGGTAAAGAATGCTTTGCTTTGGCTTTAGAATATTAGTTTTCAGAATACTTTTTTGTATCTAAGAGGAAGATCCTCAAAGAAAATTATATGCGGAAAAAATGCTTCTCACACTTTTCTGTATTATAAACATAGCTATACACTTTTCAATCCATAGTTAAAATTGCAGAATACCTTCCTTTCTAAAAATATTTGAGGAAAGTGTGTATGATAAATACTTTCTTGGGGTGTATAATACAAGCTGATGTTATACAGTGATGGCTCAGTTGCTTATTTGTCTACCTTTTCATAAAGGACAAGTAGATGACCACTCAGATGAAACAATTTCATCCTAGACTGCTCTAGATAGTGATCGCTGATCAGTAAAAGCCCAGTTTTCGTGTAGCAGTATATATGCATAGTATACACAAAACAGGCCACGTTAGAAGTCCAGTGTTATGACTGCATGATCAAATACTAGATGGCTTAGAAATGCTAGGATTAGGACTCTGTACTTCCAAGTATACGCCAAGTGCCTGCTTAGAAATTACCCTAATTTAGAATTATAATAATCTGTGCCTTTGTACATTCTAGGAGAGTGGTATTTTATGGTGCACTAGCATATAGTAGCAAAATTGGTTTTGTGTTAAAATAAAAACAAAATACAGAACACCCCTATTTCTGACAGAAAGTAATTGCTGAATGCCTGTTCCTTCTTCCTACCAAGAAATATATTTATTTATATACAAGCTCATCCTAGAACCTATGTCTGTTTTACTTCTCTCTCATGCAGAAAGTACTTTGGGTTCAAAAATATTAGAAAGTTTGAAAGTTTAAGTTTTGCCTGAGCAAGAACTTCAGACTTATGATTTGACTGTATTAACTCTATTTAGTTTTCAGCCAGCTCTTTCATCGTTATTTCATGAGTATTTTACTTGTTTTCCTTTCTTTCTTAATGTTGTCTCCACTGGAGATTAAAATGGCTAGATAAGGGGAGTCAAGAGAGATAATTTGTAAGCTGTTTGAGGGAAGCAGTGTATTTTTCTTATGTGTCTGGGTGGTACCTAGCACAATGAGACTCCCTATATAAATGAGTCTTACAGTTTGAGTCATAGTAAAAGTAATAATATAATAATCATAGAATCGTTTACGTTGGAAAAGACCTTTAAGATCATCCAGTCCAACCATTAGCCTACACAACCAAATCCACACTAAACCAATCAAGGGTCGACTAGACTAAACCATGTCCCCAAGTGCCATGTCTACCCATTTTTGGAACGCTTCCAGGGATGGTGACTCCACCACCTCTCTGGGCAGCCTGTTCCAATGCTTGGCTACCCTTTCCGTGAAGAAATTTTTCCTAATATCCAACCTAAACCTCCCCTGGCGCAGCTTGAGCCCATTTCCTCAGTGAGGATGATGAAGAGCTGGATCCTTTATAAATGGGGACAACTGAATCAGGACTAAGATATTCTGCTCGTACATTTTTCAAGGTATGCTTTGTTACATGAGCACCCAGCAAAGTGAATTTGTTTTGAAGAATGGTGAAGGTACTGATCAGCTAAAAATGAAGTTTGTCTGTTACCAAATAGAGGGCGGGGGGAACTTTTTGTTTTTGTAGAGATGAAAGCTGATGACAGTGATAGGCATGTGTTTTCTCAGAGAGTAATTTGTATATATATCTTGCTGCTCTGATATAATAGACTCATGGATTAGAGCTAATACTGGCAGAGGATTTTTTTTGTATTAGATACTCTTTCTGGTGTTTGAGGTTCTAAATTTATTTCCTTTTTACAGGGTTTTTGGTAAGGTACCAAACTCATCATTATCAATATGAAATTATATTTTTAGGTTTTTTTCTATGTTGAAATTAAATGGCCCTGTGAATTCATCCAACAGCTTACACACTGCTGATACGTTTCATCACTGGGTAAAGTGTATGCCAGTATCTTGCCAGGAGGACATTACATGTTACCAGTGAAAAGTTTCAACAGACTCCAGGGAAACACCACAGGAAAAGTCCGAGAATGTGCTTCCAAACAAATATTCAGTAGTCCTTCTTGGTGAAATAGGAAGGATTTCTAGATATGCTTGCAGTTCTTTTTATTATTGCTAGTAGTCCCCATGTCTGTTTCATTTAAATATATTTTTCAAGATGCAAATGGTTTTTTTGGTTTGGGTTTGTTTTTTTTTTTTTTCCCCCTTCAATACCGGCCTAAATGGGAAAGCTGAAATTTGTGCAAGGCAACATATAGAGGATAAGATGATGAGGGTTATGACTCTGTTTTTCAATTCAAGTACAGTATGATAAATTTATTTTATTAAATATAATATGCATTTTATTAAACACATAGATATATGTAAAATTCATACAGATTTTCTGTATTTTATTATCATTTGGCATGAAAAAGGCAAATTTCTAGAATATTTTTTCGGTTAAATGCTGGAGCACTTAGACTCTAAGGTTTTTTCTAAAGCTATTTTCATGTTCCTGGATCTTTTATTAACAGGATTGTAGAAAAGAAAAGTCTGTAGTTGTCGTCAGATAAAACAGAACTTCATAACTTAAAATCATCAAAGGATTATTCTTTTAGTGGAAGTTTGAGTAAGTAAATGTGTTTGGAACCAAAGTAACTGGAAAGTTTATTTTGGATCCAAAGCTGGTACTTGCTGAGCCCTAGCCCTGGCTTGCTCATGATAGAATATTGCATGAAGATTTTGTGCATTGGAGTTGTGGTAAGCTATTAGTATTTAAGTGAAAAGACTTTCATACTTAACTATAAAAAGTTGTTTTTATTATTTAGTTGTTGTAGGATTTTATATGTAGCCTTGAAGTCTTTTTGGCAGTTACACTGTGTAGGAGGGTAATACTCACTTTTCACGTGTTCTTCATACTAATAGTTGCTAAAATTGTAGAGCAGTATAAACACAATTATTTTTAATTGGTTGTTAATGCTGAATTCCAATGAGAATAATGAAGGATCTGTATTAAAAGCAAATGAATTAATGAGTAATGTTGCAATGAATGCCAGCTAAATAAGAGTGTAATTATGACATATAAAATTTAGCCAGATATTCCACATGCCTTTAAATATCCCTGAAATTATTTGAAGAAATGAGTCTGTTTCCTGAAATTATTGAAAATAATATTTTCTTTAAAGCATATAACTTGTACAAAATTCTAGTCAAAGTGAAGCATTGATTGAAAGAACAGAAACGTAAGGATGAGATTGACTAGAGTTCCTGTTCTTTGAATAGTGGTCTTTATTCATGGGTCAGGAAGAGATTCTGTGACTTGTAACTTAGCAGTTACAGCTTTCAGCAGTTATGAAGAGAGGATGATTTCTTAAGTTGGTTACTTACCACAAACTGACAAGAAATGAAATTTTCCATAACTAAGTAAAAACTTGGAAAAATCAAGCTTTCTTAGAAAAGAATAGGAGGAATACTGTGTAGTGCTAAGCAATTGTGTTTTAAGTGGTCAAAGAAAACACACCTGATCCTTATTATAGTCATTTATATGTACAGGTAGCCTGCTCTCTTAGTTCTCTTACTCATGTGCTCTTCTTTCCATTTATATCACTTCTACTTTTTGTCTAACTTGAAAACATGTATTTCTGGCCTGCCTTTTTAAATTCTAACAAACAGTGCCTGTCTGGCTCAACTGCAGATGGTCTAATTGGGTAGAGCTAATTTGGATGTCAGAGGCTGAGGTTATGGTCTTATAATAATGACCTCACCAGAACTCCTACATAAGATATGTAACGGTGGTTCTTTGCAGTTTTGGGAGTCATTACGAGATTATATTCTGTATCTGACGCTCCCAGAAAAACACATTAGCCTTTCCGACGAGAGCATATGATGGATAATTAATTAATGCGGAGAGAGGCCACTTCCCAGGAGACACCTTTATGCGAGTGTCACCTTGTGGGTCATCTTCAATGCTTCTAATTGGTTTATATAGCTATAAAATGTAGGCTAGGGAAGGGAATCTCTTTATGGTATCACTGTCGTGAGAGGCTCTAAAGACTTGTACAGCCTGTCGCTCTTCGTTGCACTTGCGCAGGATAACTATGGCGTGTCACTTGTTTTGTTTCACTCCCTCCCACGCTCCCTCCCACCCGCCCTCCTCAGTTAGGAAGACCTAATTTTTCTGCAGTATATACTTCACTGTTCTCTCTATCGAGCAACATTTTCTTTTTATAACACATGAATTAAAAATACTCCATTTATTCCAGTAACTTAATATTTTCCTTTTTATACAACAGAGATCTTAAAGTCATTGGGCTTTTTTAGGCTTATACCTTAGTAAAAGCTTAGAGCAATATGCTTTTTGTAACTTTTAAAAAGTAGAAGGGAAAATACTGCTTACTTCATTGGTTTATCATTAGTGTACGTTACTTAGCATGTGTAGGACTTGACATAATAGAAATGAAAATAGGGGGTGATTCTGTTTCAAGAATTTGTAATAATTCCTTCTCTTTAACACATGAATGTATTCAGTACTGGCAAAAGAACACGTTGCTACCAAAACTGAAATAAGATCCTTGAAACAGAAAGGATGTTGCCATGGAAAAATGAAGTAACACTCAGTGCAGCTGCGAAGCATTAATGAATAGGATATTTTTTTAAAAGATCATTTGTGTTTGGTGTGGCTTGGAGGGTCCCAACCAGATGGTTTCCATGAACAGGATCTGACCCCCAGCTTGAGGACTTCTTACTGGCAGATTACTTCATTTTCTTTCCCTTGGATTGTCAGATCCTTACATTAATGCAAGATTTACTGCTGCAGGTTTATATTCAGTTACATAAATCAGTTACATTTTACATTAAATTCACAATTTTAGATGCAGAGTTTAACAGTTATTTTAAAAGTGTAAAAAGATTTATATGATAACTTTAGTATATGCTATTGAAGTAATTTAATTGTGAGATATTTGGATTACATGTATTTTAAAGCACTTTCCGATCAGTGAAGCAATCTGTAAGCACACATTCTCACTTTTGTCCAACATATAATGCCATCATTTTAGGTGCACTCTTACATTCCTTCACTGGAACTTGTTATTAGACAGATCTCCAGATTCTGTCAGATAAACATACACAGATTCCATTGAAGTTGATAGTTGTGTGTAAACAGAATCTGCCTCTGAGAAGTTCAACAGATGCAATTCAATTTTGCACTTATTGGGCTCTTGTGCATCCAAGTTGGCAATTTCTTGTGTAATTATAGTAATTGCATGGTTTGCCCTAAAATGTGGAATTTTGCCATATGTTCGTTGTGTTGGTCTTTGAAATCCTGCAATAATGTTTTGCAAAATTCATTTATTCATATAAAACTTGAAATGAAACACAAGTAAGCAAACCATATCTGTAAGCAAATCTGTAATATTACATATGGAGGACCTGATGCTATCATGTAAACTCCACCAAAATTCATGGTTCAACTTCCATTCAGTTGTTTGAAAATGAATAGCAACGTAATGCCTATGTAAACAGGAATTTCCCTCGGGCATTTGGAGGAGTGAAACTGTTGTGATTCCACTTAAATATTCTTGATACAGCAACGTAAAATAAAACAAAAAAGATCTGAAGAACTTGTCTTCAGTACAAAGCTGTACTGAACTGTAAATTAAGTGTAAAAACTCTACTGAGTATTGAGATCTCTTCTCAGGAGTACTTTGTAAAACATCTCCTGTAGATCCTGCTGCTGGTAATATGATGAAGTATAGTATCTCTCCAAGTTGCTGGAATTTTTTTACTATTATTACCACATGGTTTGTATATTCAGGCAGCATTTGATGTTAATCATCATATACGAGGAATGGATGATTTGTTATAAACTGTTTACTCAGCAAATGCACTGATAAAACAAAAGTTATACTGATCATAAGTTCTTTTGTCATCTATTTATCATTATCCCACAATGGCTTGACCTGCAACCTATTACTAATAGACCAGAAAACGATCTAATGTGTCACAGTAAAAATCTTTGCAAATTGACACAATGACTAATTTAGCAGTTAAAAAAAAAAGATCCAAATCTATTACATCTGTAACAATACACTGTTGCTTTTCATCCAGTATAAATAAAGTACACTCTGCAACCTTGGATCAATAAACTACTTACCAAAGATGTAATTAACTTCATTTTACAACTCAAACAGTTCTAAAACTAGAAACAAACACAGACTTCATGTAACAATGTATTTATTTTTGCAAAATTCTACTCATATTTTTCTGCAGTGAGTCCTTGTCAGTTTGCCTAAGCAAAAGGGCACAAAAATGCTAAAATAAAGATGAATATCTGTGTTCTCCTCACTAGGCTGGCAAAGTACTTATGGTGCTGAGGAATTCCAGCTCTATTGCAAATCATTATTGTGGTCTTGAGGGACTATTAGCCTTCAGGGGAGGGTATGGAGTACAAACCTTGGTTATCAGTTTTAAGCTGTGATGTCTTTAAGGTTGTCAAATTGAAAGAGTCTGTTATGTAAGCTTACAGCAAACAAATGTTCTTTTATCACAGCTACAAATAACATCTTGTGTCCAACATTTTGTACACTAGATTTTTCCAAACAATGTGAAGAAATGAACTGAATCATAGTTTGTACTCGCTTAACAAAGCGTTCAAGTGTGCAGGCTGTTAGGGCTATTTGATATCCAGGTGCAGAATATGATTTGTAAGAGCCAAGGAAGACTAACAGTCTGCAGCTTACACCACCTCTGAGTTAACAAGTAGTGATGAGTTCAGTTCTTGGTTTGGGCTCACTTAGCCTTGCTAGAAGTTCATAAGGAGATAGCAGAATGGTCAGAAATGTTTCAGGGTAACAGCATTGCTTGAAAATAAAGAACAAAGAAGTGCTCTTTCATATGAAACCATATACGCTACTTCTGATTTGCAATGAAAACAGGACAAAAGCTGTATAAGCTTTGTGAACTTTATTTGTTTCTCTTTCTCTGTGTATGTATGCACCTATCCATTTGTTCTAAAATCAGTTTTTCCACTAAAGTTTGTATTTTTCCTAGTTTATCTGATGATTAACCTCTTGTACATGCTCATTACTGTTGACTACAAAGTAAAGACAGAATTTTCCCTGAAACAGGTCTTTATAGAAGTCTTTATAGAAAGTAACAGCATATAAAATGTTGATTAGTTCTAGCGGCTTAGCTATTGCTAACGAAAGCTAATGAACAGCAAAAAGAGGGCTTTCTCAGCTTTATGGTAAGAACATTTTCTGACTCAATTATGCTTCTTATATAAAGCTGCTGAAATGTAGTTAGATGTATGTTTGGTTTATATGGCAACACCTTTCTGATCAAATTTACAGACCAAAATCACACTTTTTCTTCCCTCCCCTCCCATAATCATAATTTACAAGAATATGTTATTTTCCAACATTTTGTGTCATCTTTCCTCTTCATTCAACTAAAAGCTAAGACTATTTTCAATCAACTGTGATGGATGAGTCACTTGAGCTTTTGTACCAAGATGAATACTGCACATCAGGGGAAAAAATGGTTTTCTGTTTCTGAGAAATCTTTCTTGGTTTTGTTTTTTCAGCTTGAAGTGCAGTCTTGTTGTGTATTCCTTCCAAATGACAGCCTGCCTTCCCCAAGTACTATTGTATCGGGTGACATTCCCGGGACTGTGCGAAGCTGGTACCATGGGCAAGCCAGTATGCCTGGCACACTTGTCATCTGCTTGCCCCAGATAAAGATTATGAGTGCTGGACACAAACACATGGAACCGTTGCAGGAAATCCCATTTGTTGTGCTGAGACCCATCCTGGAAGAAGGTATTGTGGTAAACTTAGAAAAGCTTACTCTTTAATTTCCATTTTCAACTGTTATGAAAATTATCTTCATTTTAATATGAAAACTTCTGATGTTGTGCTGCATTTTTAGCAGTATGTTATGTATTATTGATGGCTAGAAATACTAATGACAAGGTTTGTACCACGGACATCAAAGTGAAAGTCATCATCAAAGAGGTAGTTCTGTGATATGCTTTGTATGTTTGGTGAAGCCAAAAGAATTCAGAAGTGCAATTTTTACATTCGTTGGTTTTGTCATTCAAGTTACTGTGTAGCCACAAACAGTTTGACACAACAGGACGGGGTACTGAGTTGTGAATTCCAAGGCAGAATGGAGGCAGGTTAGGAAAAACTTCTTGTGCCACCTTTGGCCAAAAAAAAAAAACAAACCCCCAAAAAAACCCCCAAAATAGTAGTCTTGGATCTACATTCAGACTGGACCTTAGGAAAAGGTTCTTCACCGAGAGGGTGGTCGGTCACTGGACTGGAACAGGCTCCCCAGGGAAGTGGCCATGGCACCAAGCCTGTCAGAGTTCAAGGAGCATCTGGACGACACTCTTAGTCATATGGTTTAGTTTTAGGTAGTCCTGCGAGGAGCAGGGATTTGGACTTGATACTCCTTATGGGTCCCTTCCAACTTGAGATGTTCTATGATTCAATATAAGACGAGAAAAGAAATTCATAAATATAGCAGACTATCAAAAGAAAAGAATGAGAGTTTATTGATCATCATGATAGGCAACAATTGTGTTCTGTTTTGTGTCTGTAGGAATTGTAGCAAGGTTTTTGTAGAGATTCAATAAAAAAGTATTGAGGTTTATACGAGTGTTTATGGGGGGATGCTCTTGTGCATAGACTGATGAGAAAAAGTACAGTAGTTCCCATTTGAAAAACTAATACTTGAGGCCAGGTTGGATAGATCTTTGAGCAACCTGGTCTAGTGGAAGGTGTTCCTACCCATGGCAGGGGAGTTGGAACTAGGTGATCGTTAAGGTCCCTTCCAACACAAACCATTCTATGATAGAGGTTTGAGTTGTAGACCAATTTGAGGGAAGAATCAGCTTTTAGCATTCTGCACCTGATTGAGAAATGAAAGGAGGGGATAAGCTGTACAGCATCTAGCAAGTGAAAACAAGCTGCTTATGTTCGATATTTTTTTTTTTTTAAAAACAGAGCCCTTAGAAATTATCAAACTAAATGGATTTGCAGCAGTATTCTGAAGGAATACTGATGTAAAAATCTTGTTCTACAGCAACAAAAAGAGAGCCAAGGAGGATCTCCATCCCTTGCTGGATGTGGGGAGGAACATTGTCACCGAGGACAAGGAAAAGGCTGAGGTATTTAACGCCTTCTTTGCCTCTGTGTTTAACAGCGAGACCGGTCATCCCCAGGGTACTCAGGACCCTGAGCTAGAAGATAG